ATGTGGAAGTCCGCGCTTTTGAAATTCAATGACATAAAAATCTGACACATGAAATATGTCCCATGTTAATTAATTAAATATGTCAAAAAATATAGGTAGATTACACAATTAATCAATACAAATCAGCAGCAATGACTTATCAAAACTTCTTGTTATCCTTCAAATCGCGAAGCATTTGTTTCAATTTAATCTTAAAAACACGTGCTACAATGTCTGGTCTATCTTCAGTGCGACGACTTCCACGTGTAGATATCTCATTTACAATCTCAGGCCAGTTTGGATTGCAAGTGAAAGTTATAAATAAATCAAGCGGACCCAAAACGCGAACAATTGCCAAGCATCTTGATAATGATGGGCCATATTACGGGGGCTTCGTGTGAAAGATGATGGTAATATGAATAATCGACCTACATTGGTAGCATTGACATCTCCAGCCCTGATTGCATCTTGGATTCCATTGTATAAATCAGAGCGAAGCCTGCCTTGATTTCTCCTTATCCATGATAATCGATATTGTTCCATTGCAGCGTATGCATCAACATCAAATTGTTGCAATAAGCGTCCGGAATCTATCAAGGTGTCACCCTCTTCTTCACTATCATGTATCCTAAATGCGTAGAATTGTCGCATTGTCACAGTACTTCGACTGGTACTTGTATTTGACGCCTTAGGTATCCCAACTCTCCATCCATCGGTACCATATGAAAATATTAGTGGGTATTGTAAAGTCATATAACTTGGATAAGTTTCATCAATCCTTTGTAACCCACCATCTATTTTTTGCAATATGATATCTTGATTACCTATGTCTTCAGTTCCATCACCTACCATCAATGTGGCCACTTCACTTGCGGTTGGTTGGATACATTGTGTGCCTTCTATTGCGCAAATAAGTTTAATTCCCAAATCTTGATGCTCACCTTGATCGCGCAACACATTGCCAGCATTTCTGTATACTGTGACATAAGGATTTATATCATCAAGCATCATTTTTAGTCCTTGTAAAATTCCTGGATCTATGGAAGAAGCTTCCGCGCCCCCCATGTGATGTAGTTGGTTGTATGTTTTATTGTCAGTATCATAGATGTATAACTGTGCAAACTTAGGACCTGTTCCCGGCTCATGGAGTAAAGTTCCAATTTGATGGTAATTACTACCACGTATACGATAGACAAAGGGGCCTTTACCATCATTAACAGTGTTATCAATCCGACCGCCCATAGAGGTGAAAGCTAACATAGAGTTGAAAGCTCTAATATTGTTTCGGAATTGCTGATGTGGCAAAAGTGACATTAAAAATGGCGGTGTCAAAGGTAAAAGCGGCAATATAACTTGCCCACTTTGACAACAGTGATTGAACCTTGGGTGTGTTTTATTGCTACTCTTTACCCTTTCTTCTATCCACATAAGGGCCTTGCAATTAGGACACACAACTGTTCTAGGTCCAATCTCCCAACGTCTATCAAACCCATCGGTACGACGACATTGATGAGTGACTTCTGCATGCAAATGATTTATTTTAGTGAATATCAATTAACAATGTCGACATCACTTATGTGTGTGGTTAAGTAGCTTGGCAAAGTGGTTACCTCTCCTTATGAAAATTTGCTCATCAGGTCTAGCATCATTGTCTATCCCCTCATTAGGTGAGCTTTCTGGAATGAAAGTTTTTAAATATTTAATAGAATCCTTAATGCAAGTGTAGACACCCATTTGTGTCTCCCCAAAACCAAACCCGGTGATGAGTACCTTTCGCGTCGAATTATAATCGAATGAAGTGAATGTGTGGAAAGTCTAGTGTTGCGGATAGTTTAAATTTTTTTCTTTTCTCTCTGTTTTTGAAAACCTATTTTAAGAAAACAGACAATCTAGTTTGGTTTGGTCCATTTTAAGGGTCCAATAATGGTGTAGTTAGATGGGGCTTGAAGAGAGCTTTCCAACGATATATTATAAGCCCAATTCCGATGAATAATGAGGAAGTTATGGCCAAATTACTAAATTGGGCCCGGTTTGATCATTATATGCGGCCCAATGATTTAGAGGAGGGCCTAATATGTATTTATCATTCCTAATGCTATTAGAATTTATTTTAGTCTTCTAGATTCTTCTAGAAGATTCTTATCATTCCTAATTCAATTAGCGCTGATAAATTGACTTTTGTTGACTTTTTGGAGTTTTAATTAGAATAATAGTGTTTTTAAGGAAAATACGATTTTTCCCTTCTGTACGACTAAATTTTATCTGATTAAGAAAACGCGTGAAAATAATAATTAGCGCCTGACGACAGACATTAGTGCCTGGCGCTAATCTCTTTTTTCCTCGTCGAAACTCTGATTTGTTTTTCTATCCGTTTGGCTGATTTTCTCTATAAATAGCCTCCTAAAACCTCCGTTTTTCATCAATTCTCTCTATTAAAATATCAACAACTCTCTAATTCTCTTCTCTCTCTAAGCTAAAGGTTGTTCTCTCTCTCTCTTTTCTAAACTAGCCTTCTCTCTAACAAAATTCCGCATTCACAATACCAAGAAACACGTAGCATAATTCGAAGTTGCCTTCGCCCTAGACGTGAAAGGTTTTAATTTATGAGGGTTTGGTCCCACATCTAGTTTAATCTTTATTTCAATTATTTAATTTAATTGTTTGTTTTATTATTTTCCTTGAAGTTACTAACGCGTGTATTTTGTTATTAGAAAGAGATAAGAGGCATCCAAGTAAGTGTTTTAATGGTTTTATTGATATTATGATAATCATGCTTAGATTGTTATTTTGATTCCTAATGTCATGTTAGGGTGTTTTGATCTTCCTAGTATCATGTTTAGGGTAACAACTAAAAATTTCTAATATCAATTATGATTAAAAGTATGATGCTTCCTATTTCTTTCCTAATATTCATGTTAGTATCATGTTAGGGTTAAAGCTTTGATTTTTATATGTTTAGTGACATGCTAGGGTTTGTTATTAATCATAGCTTGTTAGTATCATGCCTAGGATCTTGCTATTAATATTATGCTTTATTATTAACATGATTATTTTAATTATGATTATTATGATTGTTATTATAATTATGATTATTTTATTATGTTGCTTGATATATATTTATTGTTATTGCTTGATCACACCTTTTATGCATGTTTAAAGGGAATTTGTACTTGTAATCACGCTTAATAAGATAATTAATAATCTTGTTTAGGGTTAATATGATTATAATTCAAGTGATCGCCAATAACAGTTTTGTTTGTGCATTAATATTCAACCAACATAGATTAACAGGTTTAGGGTTAAACCTATTAAATGAGACTCCCCAAATAGGCTAGGTCCATAAGTGTCGGGCCGACTACCTTCCCTTCGTTGTTAGGGACAAAGTTAAGGTGTTTGACCGCTATGTGAGTTACTAGACCGCCAAAATAAATGGGTACCCTAGACCTACCCCCCTCGGCCGCATTGGCCACCCTTTGGAAGTGTTGGGCCATCCTATGGACAATGTTAAGCTTATCACTCCTAGGTATCATGTAAAATCCTAACAATTATAGTTCATCCCTCCTAACATTGGCGGGTTCATGCCTCCCAAAGATGGTAAGGCCAACAAACCGTTGCCAAAACTTTGGCACGGGATGCTGTATCCAAGTGCCCTTGGCATGTTGGAGGTTCAAGTTAGCATCCCCCGTAAGAGATTGATAGACAACGGCAATGTTGTCTTGAGGAGGTTCGATTGGTCTATCCGATTTTAACTCAAATAATTTGCCAAATTCTCTCAAAGACAATCTAACATCATTATTAAGCAATCTAAATTGAACATGAGTAATCAAAGCATTAGATTTTGTGACATTAAAACTAGAAATAAATTCCAAGGTCAAATTATCATAAGTATCATAATGCAAGTTAAACAAACCACTCATGCCAATTCCTTTAAACAATTTTTCTACGGGTTTATCAATTCCTAATCTAGCAAGGGTGGGGTGATGAACAAAGCGTGTAGGGATTACCTGCCTTGACGTGAGATTGATCATCCTTTGTCTTTTCTCTTGGGTGGTGATGACCACCCTCTCCCATCCCAGAACTTGCAACTCCGGGTCAATCCTAGGCGCTTCTTGCCTTGTGCTTTCCCCCCTTATGGTCCTAGATCTTTTGAGAGCCATTTTTGATGAGAAATGGTAGGAATTGAAGCTTTCTCTCTCTTAGGGTTTTGAGAAAAATTGAGAGAAAGTGGTAGAAATTTAGTGTAGATTGTAGAGAAAGATGAAAGGATTAAGAATATGTAAAAATATTTGAGTTTTGATGGAAGAATTGGAGGAGATCTTGAAAATAAGGGAGTTTGAAGGTGTGAAAATGGAGGTTTTAGAGAGAGAAAGTAGTAATGAAGAAGATGGAAGAAGAAGAAAGTGAGGAAAGAAAGAAGGGAAAGGAATAAAAGGGGACGCCCAAAAATAGGCGCGCCCGATCGGGCGACCTCCGCCCGATCGGGTGCGAACTTGAACCTGAAAATCGCCCTTTGCTCGCCTGATCGGGCGAGCTTTGTCCGATATTTCTTTTTGTGGCACTCGATTTCTCCAAAATTCCGCCCGATCGGGCGAAATTTTCCTCAATTTCTTTCTTCACTTGCACACCCGATCGGGCAAAATTTAGCTCCGACAAAATCAACATTTTGCGCCCGATCGGGACTCCTTGCCCGATCGGGCGAAATTTTTGCTCAAATCCGACCTTAGGTGCGCGCCCGATCGGGCGAACATTGCCCGATCGGGCCCGTACCCAGGCCTGGTGTTCTCTATCTTCGCCTCTTCTTTTTCTTTCTTTTTCTCTTGAAGTTTTTCTAAGTCTCTTTGCCTCTCAAATCTATACCTGTACAAAAACACTTATAAAAGGTAAAATTTCACTCTCCTCGCCTCTCTAAAATAAAAATAAAGAAAAAAGGAAAACTAGTCTAGAAAGCATGAAATACGGGCCGCCTCCCACAAAGCGCTGGTTTATCTAGGTCCCGCACGACCTTCTTACCACCTTTTTGATCAGGTTGGAAGTGGAGTTACGAGGGTTTCCTCCACATCTGTACTAGTAGCGCCCTCATGATACACTTTCAATCGTTGGCCATTTACCTTAAACTCTTCACCCTTGTCATTGACCAACTCTACCGAACCAAATTTGTTCAACCTTGTGACAGTGAAGGGACCGGACCACCTAGACTTCAATTTTCCTGGGAAAATATTTAATCTAGAATTGAAGAGAAGAACCTTATCACCCGGTGCAAACTCTCTTGGTAAGATCCTCTTGTCATGCCACTTCTTGGTCTTCTCCTTGTAGGTTCGCGCATTATCATATGCCGACAATCTAAACTCATCTAACTCATTGAGTTGGAGGAGTCTTCTCTTACCTGCGACCTTGGAATCCATGTTAAGCTCCTTGATCGCCCAAAAAGCTTTGTACTCCAACTCCACGGGAAGATGACATGCTTTACCATATACTAATCTATAAGGCAAAGTACGAATTGGTGTCTTGAATTCCGTTCGGTATGCCCAAAGTGTGTCATCAAGCTTCATACTCCAATCTTTCCTTGACTTGGCTACTACCTTTTCTAGAATCGCCTTGATTTCCCTATTAGAGACCTCAACTTGACCACTAGTTTGAGGGTGGTAACTACGCCTGGTTCTATGATATACTCCATACTTCTTAAGGAGGTTATCCAATTGTCTTTCATGGAAGTGAGTACCTCCATCACTAATAATAGCCCGTGGAACACCAAACCTCGGAAATATGATCTTCTTGAAGATCTTGATGACTACCTTGGCATCGTTTGTTGGTGAAGCTATGGCCTCGACCCACTTGGACACATAATCGACGACTACGAGTATGTAGCAATTCCCATTGGAAGATGGGAACGACCCCATATAATCAATACCCTAAACATCAAATATTTCTACTTCAAGAATCCCGGTTTGGGGCATCTCATGCCTCTGCGAAATGTTGCCAGTCCTCTGGCAAGAGTCACAAGCCTGCACAAAAGTGTTAGCATCCTTAATCATAATGGACCAATAGAAAACTGACTCGTTAATCTTAGCCACCGTTTTAGTGGGGCCATGATGTCCTCCATAAGGTGAGGTATGACAACTGGTAAGAATGCCATGAACTTCCTATTCGAGAACACACCTGCGAAATAGTCCATCTGCACACTCACGAAACAAAAAAGGATTATCCCAAAAATAATTTTTAACATCAGAAAGGAATTTCTTTTTCTGTTAGTAGGACAAGTCAGGAGGTAGAGTACCACCCACTAAATAATTAGCAAAGTTCGCATACCAAGGGTGTTGCTCTACAACTGCATACAGGTTGTCATCAGGGAATGAATCATCTATAGGAAGAGAATCCTTACCCTCATCATACCTGATTCGTGACAAGTGGTCTGCCACTACGTTCTCTACTCCCTTTTTATCTTTTATTTCTATGTTGAAGTCTTGGAGCAAAAGAACCCATCGGAGTAGCCTTGGCTTTGATTCCGCCTTGGCTATCAAGTACTTCAATGCTACATGGTCAGTAAAAACAATGACTATAGAACCAACAAGGTATGATCAAAATTTTTCTAAAGCATAAATAACAGCAAGAAACTCCTTTTCCGTAGTGGCATAGTTGACTTGAGCTTCATCCAAAGTCTTGCTTGCATAATAAATAGCATGCAAAACCTTGTTCTTTCTCTGTCCAAGCACGACTCCTAGCGCAAAATCACTTGCATCACACACGATCTCGAAAGGAAGGTTCCAATATGGAGCACATATGATGGGTGCCGATATCAAAGCCTGCTTAATCCTGTTAAAAGCCTCGAGACACTCATCAGTAAAAATAAAAGGAGCATCCTTGAGCAAGAGCTGAGTCAGTGTTTTAGCAATTTTAGAAAAATCTTTGATAAAACGGCGATAAAACCCCGCATGCCCCAAGAAACTTCTAACTCCCTTAACATTAACTGGGGGAGGTAATTGCTCAATCACTGATATCTTAGCCTTGTTCACTTGTATGCCCTTATCAGATACAATGTGACCTATGACTACTCCCTCTGTCACCATGAAGTGACATTTTTCCCAATTTAGAACTAAATTTCACTCTTCACATCTTTTCAAAATTTTAGCTAGATTAATTAAACATGAATCAAATGAAGAACCATACACGCTAAAATCATCCATAAAGACTTCCATAATAGACTCTATGAAATCAGAAAAAATGCTTAACATACAACGTTGAAAGGTAGTGGGTGCATTACATAAACCAAAGGGCATTCTATGATATGCAAAAGTGCCATAGGGGCATGTAAAAGTAGTCTTTTCTTGATCTTCAGGGTGAATCGGAATTTGGAAAAATCCCGAATAGCCATCCAAATAGCAAAAGAATTTATGATTAGCTAACCTCTCAAGCATTTGATCTATAAAGGGAAGAGGGAAGTGGTCCTTTTTAGTGGCGATATTTAATCTACAATAATCAATGCACATACGCCACCCTGTTACAGTTCTAGTGGGAATTAATTCATTTTTTTCATTTGTTATCACAGTCATCCCACCTTTTTTTGGCACTACCTGCACGAACTTACCCATTTGGAGTCAGAAATAGGATAGATAATACCTGCATCAAGTAATTTCATAACCTCCTTCTTGACTACTTCCTGCATGTTGGTATTTAATCTTCGTTAGGACTGAATGCAGGGCTTATAGTTGTCCTCTAGGTGTATCCTGTGCATACAAAAGTCAGGGCTAATACCCTTGAGATCATCAATACTGTACCCAATAGCTTTCTTATGGGTTTTGAGAACCCCTAGAAGTTGGGAAGTTTGTAGGTCAGTAAGTGCAGTACTGATGATCACGGGGTATAGTTCCTGTTCATCAAGAAAAATATATTTTAAATGAGCAGGGAGAGGTTTTAGCTCAGGTTTCTTGACCTCTGCAGGTTTTGATTCCTGAACTAAATTTACTACCTTCATTGTTTCCTTGGGGCTTAACTCTTTTAAGGAAAGAGCCTTTTCAATATCTTGTACCTCATTACCCCAAACGCTTGCATTGTCTCTAGATAAATTCTCATAGAGGACTTCCTCTAGGGGATCCCTCGCAAGAACCTGTGGCAAGCTATCATTACAAATATCATCCATTATATCAATTACATCAATATAGCAACAATTCTCCTCTAACATAGGCCCTTTCAAAACCTTCCCTAAATTAAAATTAACATTGTCGTCACCTACAGAAAGGGTTAGTTTACCATTTTTAACATCAATAATTGTTCCTGCGGAATGGAGAAAAGGCCTACCTAATATAATGGGTATTTGTGTATCCTCTGCCATGTCTAACACAACAAAATCAACAGGGATAAAAAATTTACCAACTCTGACAGGACGTCCTCTAAAATACCTAAGGGGTATTTTACCGAACAATCTGCCATTTGCAAAGTTATATTAGTAACTTTTAATTCTCCCATATTAATTTTAGCACAGACAGACGATGGCATGACACTGACACTAGCACCCAAGTCACACAAAGCTTTATCAATAAAAACATTCCCTATCAAACAAGGGATAGAAAAACTACCGGGATCCTTTAATTTAGGAGGGGATTTGTTTTGCAATAAAGCGCTACACTCCTCTGTGAAAGCTACATTTTCTACTTCATTAAAGGCCCTTTTCCTAGTCAGAATGTCTTTCATAAATTTAGCATAAGCACGAACTTGAGTGATTAAATCAGTAAAAGGAACTGTTACCTGCAGGTTTTTCACAGCCTCTAAAAACTTACCGAATTGTTTATCAAACTTACTCTTCAATTATCTATTAGGGAATGGAAGTTTGATAACAGGGCTTTGCACATCTCCTCCCTTATCCTACGATTTACCCTTCACAGAAACATTAGTAGAGTTAGTATCTAATTGTAGCCCTACAGGGCTAGCAGGATTAACGTTTGGTATAAAGGAATCTAGATCAGGAACTAGTATATCTTCCTTTGGCATAGGAGGTCCATGATAATGTGAACCACTCCTTAGAGTGATTGCATTGGCATGATCTGTAGGATGGATAGGTTGCGATGGTAGAGCTCCCTGCTGACGGGATTGTAGGGTAGATGAAAGTTGTGCAATTTGATTGTCCATGATTTTATTATGGGCTAGGATATAATCAATTTGTGCATCCCTACTCTCCATATGCTTTTGCATATTGGCAAGCATTGCTCTAAATTCTGTCATGGCAGGGTCGAAGATGATGAGGGTGATGCTTGGCTTTTCTGGCCGGAATTAGGATGATAATATTTTTGCTGTGGTGGAGTTTGCTGTTGTGGTTGTTGTGGAGGTGGAGGGTTTTGTACATTGGCGCTCCAATACGAAAGATATGGATGGTTCTTATAACCGGCATTGTAGGAATTGGAATATGGGTTATTCTGCCTATAGGTTTGAAAGGCATTAACTTGTTCATAAAGCTCCTACAATCTTGCTCCCAATGACCTACAATTCCACAATTTTCACAAAAAGCTTCATTGTTAGCAACAGCAGAAACATTAGCTACAAAGTTAGGAGCAACAGTAAGATTATCTAATTTTTGACAAATAGACGTTAATTGAGCTTGCAAAAAGGATACGGAATCGACATTATGTTTTCCTTTATTTGCAAACCCTCTCGGATTCCCATATTGGGAATTGTGTATTGCCATGTCTTTGATAACCTATCCTGCATCGTCCACATTTAAATTCATGAACCTCCCACTAGCTGCAGAATCTAGCACTGATCTAGAAGAATTTCCAAGTCCATTATAGAATGCTGATCAATTGCCATTGTGCTAGATTGTGGTGGGGGAACTCTCTCTGTAGATCCTTGAACCTCTCCCAAGCCTCATATAGAGTTTCGTCGGCCTCTTGAGCGAAGTTCTAAATAGCACTCCTTAGCACCGCTGTTCTCTCTGCAGGATAGTATTTATTATAGAAATTCAAAGCAAGAGTTTCCCAGTCAGTAATACCAAGTGCAGTTCTATTCAAACCATTAAACCATAATTTAGCTTTGCCACATAATGAAAAAGGAAAAAGAATCTCCCTGATTTGGTCTTGCGTGACTCCGGCTTGTCTAATGGTGTTACAATATTGGCAGAAATATGCGATGTGAAGATTAGGATCTTCACCCTTAGCTCCACTCAATTGCTTCCTCTCTATCATAGTGATGAATTGGGGCTTGATTTCGAATTGAACTCCATCTAGTGCCGGAGTGGGAGTAAGGTGCGGGAAATCTGTGAGCTTCGCCTGCGAGTAGTCACTGAGTTTCTTCTGGGCCGTCATCTCTGATTCTGAATCTGGAGGAATATTTGTGTCACTAGAATCAGAGGGAGGATCTCTTCGACTATTGTCCTCCTCAGAACCCGCCAGAATTTGTCTATAGATTTTCCTTTGCC